GGCCGGGGCAGCTTTTCCTTCCCGGGCTGGGGCGCCAGAATTTGGGGCGTGGGGGGAGGGGGTGAGATGGGGATGGCGGGGTATGGGGAGCAAAAGAGGAAAGTAGCGCTTACTTCAGCACGGACTGCTCCTTCTCTTCTTCCTTCTTCTGGCGGTCCATGACGGCTTGGATGATCTTCCTCTCTTCCTCCGTGAGGTGGCTGAGGTCGGGCATCTCGGGCGGAGGCGGCGGAGGCGGAGGGGGAGCAGGGCCGCCTCGGGGCCCAAGAGGAGCCGACATCTTTGGTCGAGGGAGCTTCGGCGACAACACTCTAGATTGGGAAATACTGGGCTAACTCAGGCGGAGGCCGCCGAACAAGCAGCGGGCGCCGCCGCCGCCGCCGCCGCCGCCAACGGCGCTGAGTGAAATACATACAAATCAATACCCTTTAATCAATGGGCAGCTTAATTTATGCCCGGCGGGGTGGGGAGGGAGTGGGGGGTGGGGAGGGGAAGGGGGGGCCGTCGCCCGTGAAGGCGGAGGGGCGAGGCGAAAGGAGCGGGGACCAACCCTCCCCTCCTCACCCGGCCACGCACCAGCCTCTCACCTGCTCGGCGGCGGCGGCGGCGGCGTGAAGGAGACCGCGGGAAGCGGCGACAATAGCGGTCGGGGGGCGCGGGAGACTTGGGGAGAGGGGAAGGGAACTTCTCCGGGGACCCGCACGGCGGAGGGTCTCGCTCGACATCCAGAAAACGAGACGGGGGAGGGGGGGAGGAAAGGAAGGGAAGGGAAGCGGGAGGAAGGACCGGGTGGCCGAAGAGAGAGTCGGGGCTAGGCTAACCGCGGGTGTCCCTCGCTTGCGGGGTGAGCGGAGGTGGCCGGGCCCCGAGGGGGCCCTCGCGCCTCCTGAGGGGCGAGCCGAGCCGAGCGGGCCGGCGGCGCGTGCTGGAGTAACGGCGACGAGGCGAGAGGAGCCCCGCGGGCGCCCTGAGGCGCAGAGCGAGGAGAAAACCCCTTGGGGGGAGGGCAAGTCCCGGCCGCCAGCAGCTCCAGCCGGCTCATAATTCCAGCCCGCTGTCCATGGAAAGGACCGTGGGGCAACGCAGTTCCAGCCAGAGGCTTTTCCCTGCCGTCGCCTTTGCTGCCGCCGCCCCTAGCGGCCGTTTATTCCGCTCGGGGCCCCCCCTCACACGCACACACCGCTCCTCGGCCAGGCCCTGCCGCCGCGGCCGCCCCTCGCGGCTGCTTCGCTCGGCGGCTCGCCTCTCGCTTGCGCTGCTGCTGTTGCTGCTGCTGTCGCTGGCTGCTCGCCTAACCCATCGCATCGCGGAGCGGACGGGGCGCGGATTAGCGCGGGAATCACGGGAAGGCGCCGCTCCTCGCCTTCCTCCCCCGAGCTCTTCCTCCCTCTCTCCGTCCCCGCCGCCGCCGCCGCAGCTCCCGCGCGCGTCCCCTCCCCGCCGCCACCGCCAACCACGTTTCTGCCTCGTCGCCCGAGGCGCGGGAAGGAGAGGTGGGGGGAGACGATTCCACCAGCCGCCGGAGGAGGGCGCCCGGCAGCGGCGAGTGGCGGGCAGGCAGGCCGGTCGGGCCTGGCGTGAGTGGGAGGCGGAGGAGGAGGGGAGGGGAGGGGTTGGTCGATTCCCTGCGAAGTCCGCCGGGAAGGGAAGCGTTGCGAGAACAATCATGTGAGTCAGGCGGGGGGGGGGGGGGCCGGGGGGGCGGGGGGGGGGGGGGGGGGGGAGTCGGTAACAGAAAGAGGCGGCGCTGCGGCCGTGAAGGATGATCAAGATGGAAGCGAGGAAGGGGGAAGAGGCCCCAAACGCCGCGCTTGGGCATTGCGGGGGGGGGGGGGGGGGGGGAGGTTACGAGTGAGGCTGGGCCTGGAGCGGATGCAAAGCGGGAGCTCAGAGACTCTTCAAAGCTTGACGCGGATCCGCCGCCAGTCTCGGTTTAAGCGCTCTGCCACGTTTACCTTTACGGGCGCGAAGTGAAGCGGGCAGGCGGCTAACGGGGAGCAGCCGGCAGCTGCTCCTTGGCCTGGGGAAGAGGTATAAAAAAGGGGTAGGTGAAGGACTGTAATAGAATAGAATTCTTTTATTGGCCAAGTGTGATTGGACACCCAAGGAATTTCTCTTGGTGCAGATACTCTCAGTGTATATAAAAGAAAAGATTCATTCGTCAAGAATCATCAGCTACAACACTTAATGACCGTCTTAGGATAAAATAAGCAATCAAATCATACTAAGAAACAGTCCATATAAATCGTAAGGATACAAGCAACAAAGTTAGTCATACAATCACAAGTGGGAGGGGATGGGTGATAAGGAGTCATGAGAAGATTATTAGCAATAGTAGTGCAGACTTTGTAAATAGTCCGACAGTGTTAATCTGCATTTAGGATTATATAAAGCAGCATCGGTTGCTTTGGGGGATTCATTTGGACAGATCTGGCTTTCTAGAACTTTAAGATTTGCGGACTTCCAACTCCCAGAAAAAGCTGGCTGAGGAATTCTGGGAATTGAAGTCCACAAGTTTTAAAGTTGCCAAGGTGCTGCGACAAGTGGAAGGAAAGAGAAGATGATTAGCAGCAACCGAGAGGGCTTCAGTTACACAGTAGTAACTATAATGCAGAGGTGGGAGAATTGAATGACCAGGGTAAGGATGGTTGTGAATTAAACCTAAGTCAGGAGTTCCTAAACTTTTTACCATCGTAATCTTAAGTGTAATCTTAAATGTATAACTTTCCCCTAACAGTGCAAACACCAAATGAATACAAATGAACAATGAAAACTATACAATGAAATTTTATTTTTAGTAAAAAGCAAAGGTTGTGCCTTCTCCACTACTATATAACTCACCTGAAACTGGTAATTTTTGATAGGTTGATTTATTGTAACAATGTACAACTGAAAGGTTCTTCACGCCTGGACTCTATGTACCTCTCAAAGGGAGGTGTCCCTGATAATTGGGAACCTGATCTAAATGGGGTCATTAAGAAACACAATGACTTGATGACACATAATTAATGTGCAACTTTTGGGTATTTGGCCCTAAAACAACACTCACTAGTCAAAATCAAGTTATGGGACAACTGAAGAGCTTAAGTATAAATTGCAATCTTTTGTCCATAAATCTGATTTATCTCTGCTCAAGCTGAAGAACTCAAAGTTTAAACCTTGACTGCTGCATGAAAACTGGCTTGTTACATTGAAGACTGCAATTCTTAAACTTTCCCCTAAGTTGATACAAAAGTCTACAATGTATCAAAACTTAAGGATAACAAGGTATGCCATTGTACATAAAGTACAAAATTTAGAAACTTTTTCACCAATTCATTTTGACCTGATAGCTGGTTGTGCTTTTAATTAATCAAAATGTTAGCCTTTTATACTCAAAGACAAATCTTGCTTGTAAATGTTTGTTAATCACCCCATCCTTAGTGCAGAAATATTTTTACAGATGAAAAAAAACTGGTTTCACTTTCACTTTATGACATCAAAATGATAAAACATGCATCAGTGCTAGCTCTGGAAATAGACATTTTATCACGTTACACACCAGTATTAGGGAGTAGAGTTGATACCATAATGTAGGATTCATCATCCACCCTCCGAAGAGATCTCAACAAGGCACGTTAGGAAGAACCATACTTGGCAAGAGGTTTTCTCCCATAAAAATTGGACTAATTGAAATCCTGTTTGAAAGATTTACACTTCATTTTTTGAAAATGTAATCTCTATCAACATTCTTTAACTTGAATTTTTGAATAGATGTGTATGTTTAATACACAGTGCCACTCTTTTCTTGAACTTCTATTTATTTTGAACAAATTGTATTCCCCAATTAATGTAGCTATTTATACAATATATAGTATATGTGTTGGTTAAGTTAAGTCATTTCACCAGAATGTGACTGTTAAATTTTTTTTGCTTTTCTCCACAATATTAAATACATAAACTTTATATATTAACTTTAAGTATTATGAGCTTTCCAAATTTTCTTAGAGTTGTTTAATAACACCTTAGTTTTTGTTTCCAGATGTATAATATAGTACTTTACAAAAGTTTGGGAATACACATACATATATTATTGTATATATGTTATAGTTTCTTCCAATTCTTATTTGCATGTTTTTTACTTTTATATTTTAGTTTATCTTAGTAATATTTAATAAAAATAAATTAAAAATAAAAATATGCAGTTAATATAGGATTAAATAATTTGCTAAAATTTAAATTTGAAGTTCAAATAAACAGCTGTTTTCCAGGTGATAAGCAAGAAAACAATTGTGATATCATCTGTTACATAAGACAAATTATTTAAAACTTTAATTGCATGCTAGCCCAAAGAATAATTGTTCGATTTTAGATGGCCAACTCTGGTTATGGAAAGTTTCAAAGAAAATCTCAGGCTTGAGCAAGATTTATAACTGAGGACGGAATCTGGATTAAGTCATAGAAAGGAATGGCATGCCAATCTCTGAATACAGTATTTTCACGACTATATTAGGTAGATGATTTGATCTAGTATAAAAGTAAAAAATATTAATATTCTCTAATTCGTGCATACTTAACATTTTTCAATCTTATTTCTGAAAATAATATAGCCAAAAATTAAGATCCTGCCTAACCTCTTAAACTTTAGAGAATCTGTTATTAATTTCAGTATTGTGCTATAAATGGATCAACAGCTAAAATAAAATATTGGCAATGATGATATTCAAAATATTAATAACTATTCCACATTTTACATATCAGAGGTATACATTTCTATTCAACTAAAGTTTTATTAACATATACACAAAATAAAAATACAGACAACCATTAATGACCGTTCAAAGTTACAATGGCACTGAAAAAAGTGACTTATGATGTTTTTCAAAGTTATGACCATTGCACCATGCCCAGAATCACATGATCAAAATTTGGATGTTTGGCACATGGCATGATGGTTGCGGTAAAATGAGTCAATTAACAACAGTGTTACTAATTTAACAGTTGCAATGATTCATTTAACAACTGGGGCAAGAAAGGTTATGAAATGTGGCAAAATTCACTTTAAAAATGTCTTGCTTATCAACAAAAATTTTGGGCTCAGTTGTGGTTATAAGTTGAGGATTACCTGTACCTTATTTGATAGGTTGAATCAGGATACATAGCTTACAATAGAAAGGGGCTTCACACAGGGTTGTTTTTTTTTAATTAAATGGTGCCCAAATATTTTGGAAGCAAGTTTGCCAATCTAAAAATACTTTTGTTCACATTCTTTTAAGATGCTACAATTTAGCATTTTGGAAAACTTATTGCAGCTTTCCAAAGCTGACATTAGTTCTGTCTCTTCTAGTTGCTAGTATGCAGAATTTGCATATACTTTTTTAGATACTTTCACTCTCGTTCTTTACAAGCGATGCAGCTTGTAAATACTATAAAGATACCACAATTAGCCACACTATAGCAACTAAAGTCACAATTTATTATTTTCATAATATCAACAAACAAATATATATATATCATATATAAATCATGTCCATAGGAATTTAGTACCCTAGTAATTTTATATATTATTATTTTACTACAGCCATAATGTGTTTCTGCTTTTCTGACACAAGTGGTATAGATCCAGGCTTGCTATGTTTGCGACGGTTCAGTTCCCTGGAAAGAGACATTAAAATATATTTATATATTTCATTGCTTAGAAAATAAAGTTACTACTACATAACAAATATTCATATATCACAATGTATTATTATACTTGGAATACAATTAATACATTTAATATATTAGGTACTAGATTATGATCCTGGAAAAGATATAAATTTTGAGACATTCAGGGCAGATTCAATAAAAATAAAAATAAAATTTGGAATATATCGTCAATATTCTTCTATATATGCTGTGCGCTGGGCTAATATAGCTCTTGTTCAAAGATAACATCTCCCATTTGTACAAAAGATGATTAAATTAACAGATGAATTCTATTCAGGTAATTAAAAAAGATGGCATGGCATCTACTGCTACCTGAACAGCATTAATTTATGTGGTATCAGAACAAGAGCTCAAGGAGTCCATTGTCCTTTTTGCTGTCCTTCCCACCTCAATTTAATTAATAGGATGAATCTGATTGGGTAACCTAAAGAAAAGCTGAAGCTCTATTTGGAGACTAAGTTAGCCATTAGATTCTTACACAGATACCATCACATCAGATTTCAATTCTGATGACTGCATGGGCAAGTGCTGACCATCTCAATCTGTCTCTCATAATAACCTGTCGTTCTTCCAGGACATTCCAGTAATGACTCTGATCCTATTCCCCTTCATTATCCATTGTCATCCCCTTCTAATTCCCTCAACATGGCCAAGCTAATTATTTCTATCCTATTGACTTAGATACTCCAACTAATTGTTTCAGCGAATATATGTTATTATGGAATTAAGCTTGGAAAGGAAACAATGTATTGTCCAATCCAACGTCCTATACTTTAGAAATACATCTAATAAATCAAAGCATGTTACTGTCAGATTAGTTTTATAGCCAACTGGAAAAGTCTCTCTAGAGAATTCTACAGTCCATTCAAAAGTAAATAGGCAAATGGAAAGAATAATAGAATACATTCAATTTTAAAAAATTAAATAAAACATACTTTCGCCGACGAGCTTCTTTCATGATGCGTAGCTCTTTGGCTTGACTATAGATCATCTTCGGTAAGTGACGATGGCGATTTATACGTTTGATCTGGGGATGATGCTGGAATTTTTCTTTCAGTTTCTGATTATAGTTAATAGCAGCTCTCTCTCGAGGAGTAAGCTAGGGGAAAAATCATAATATTAAAACATATTTAACAATGATGAATTCCAAAATACCAGAACAGATTTATGAATGTGCAATATTTCATGAAATCTTATTACCTTCTATACACTGGATAAAGTCATGGAACTGCAAGATCTCAAAGGATAGCACAAAGTAATACTTGGCAAATAAATCTTAAATTGGACACTGATAGGAGGGAGGGAAGGAGGGAGAGAGAAGGAAGGAAGGGAGGGAGGGAGGGAGGGATAGTTATACATTTATACTGAATTCAAAAAAATTGATTTTAACGGGGAAAATCTCTGAGTTATACATCTTTGATTATCTTTATTCCAATAGAAAGCTTAAATTCAATAAAAGTCAATCTACTTCATTCTGCTTAGCCTGGTTGATAAATCCCTGATTTAACTATGTTAAATGAGAAAAAGTCCTTATTTTGATCATCAGAATGATGCAGAATATACCTCAAAGTCCAACTAGATTTAACCTAGCTCTCAAGCAGAAGAAATATAATTCTTTTTCAAAAACTGCTCATTTAGAGAGACAGACTAAACATTAACCTTTATTAGCTGTAGGAGGTATTTTCCACCACCCATCGTATTTCATTTCTTTTGCTTAGTCAGCAGTATATTTCAATCATCCCTATTGTGCAAAATGTCAATACAATCCAAATTAAAAGGTTTTCATTTTAATTAAAGGCAATTACATTAAAATGGTAGCTGACACAACACTATTTCTTTCAAAGGAATTAGCCTTTTTAAAAATATTCACAGCACGTCTGACTTGATACTGCTCATTCTAATTATGAAATGAAGCATATAGAAGAGTAAGAGTGAGCTCTTAAACAATCAGTGACCAAATTTGTAAGCCCAGACAAGCCTATTTTAACAAGGGCTTGTAATTTGCAAGGTAGCACTTCATATTGCAACATTTATACCAGCTTTTATTTATTTCCATTATTTATATGCTGCCAATATTATAAAAATTCTAGGCAACTTCTAAAGATAATAAATTAAGATGACACACAAGTCTCCAAAATTCAACAGATTATGTTTACAGGTAATCCCCGATACATGACCAGTTATTTAACAGCCATTCAAAGTTATGACAGCCTCAGGAAGGGTGCTTTATGGTCTGGAGGCTGTAAGCATCACAAATCTGAACCAGCTGCCAGGTACCGAAAGTGTGATCATGTGACAGTTGGAGTGTTGACAGTCATAACTTCAAAGGCATATCATAAATCACCTTTTCTGAGGCCAAGATAATTTGGAACCATTGTTAAATGAACAGTCATAGTGAAGACTACCATCTTTTGGACAAAATCTTGCCTGAAATGGAACCAGTGAATCAGTTTCATCCAGGTGCATATGGAGCCGGGAAGTCAGTTTATCATTGTCTTTTAATCATTTTGTCCAAAAAATGAAATAGATTGGGTCTATATTACTTTATCATTGGGTCAAGGGAGGCCTCTTACCAAGAACTTTATGACTGCCTCTTTTAGGAACATGTGCTATGCTCAAGGAGGTACAAATCACTCTGCTTAACCAAGAAGCCAATTCCAGACTATTTGATCAGTCAAGAAAGGCAAGGATTGAGAAGGCAATCAACTGCTTTTGTTTCTCCACAATACTGTCCATACCCTTAAGATCTACAACCTAAAAAAAAATCAGAATACTACAAGACCCCAACCACTCTAAAGTAGCAGCAAATACATGGCACTGGCAGACTCTTACGTAGATGAGATGGAATTCCATAGCAAACTATGATTGACCCAAAGCTGGCTTTCATTCCTAAGGTGGGAGTAAAACTTGCAGTCTCCTGGTTTTCTAGCCTAATGCTTTAACCACTAGCCCAAAAATACTCTCTTGTTTAAGACAAAATAATTACAATGAATTATGGTTATTACCAAGATTTAAGGTTAACAACCAAGTTTGCTTTAAGGCTAACAATGAATTTGCAGTTACTTACCACACCCAGCTTTTCAGAAGCATTTGCTTTCCACAAACGAATGTTCATTTCATCAGAGCCACACAAAATGTATTTATTGTCTGATGTCCATTTGACAGTGATGACATGTTGCATTCTCTTTGTATGATAAACCTCCCTAAGAATAGAAAAAATAGTTTGTTTTCCTTTTAATTAGAAATATTTTATGATATTTTTACAGCATTGTACAGCTTTTTGGATTCAGCTCCAAAGTGTGATTGGAATGGTGCAGAAGCATATAAGTAGCATATGAAAGATGTTACATTTGTGATACCAAGCACTTTTTACAGATTTATCCTAATAGCTATGCAACCCTAATATTTCTAAAAATTATCTGATTATACTGATTTCTATTATCAGGCGAATACCTGAAGTTAAAAAGTCAAAATAATGGATATGAACAGGTGGGTTGGTAATAATCTATTTCTTTGTTTGAAATCGAATAAAATAATTTTAGAGAAAATTAAGAGATTCAGAGAAATTAACCAGCTTTTATTATTAAAAATGTTTTTATTAGTGAGCAGAAAAGTGAGGATACAAAAGAGCAGCTATTTGTTAACTCAATCCCATATTTGCCTTACATTTCAGCTTTTGTTTTGGCTTCTGTGAAAATAATCAATTATATTGATTACTAGCTCTATACCAGTACGAAATTATGTGATGGGGCTTAGTTTTGGGGGACAAAAATAAGGTGGGGGGGAATTGTGCCTCTGCCTAGCAGCATCCATTGGTATTCATCTGGCTAGCGTCCGGTCAGTGTGTGAGAGGGCTGTTTGGAAACAGAAACAATCAAACTGAAACAGTATTTGCTTTGTGAGCAAGGAGGAGACAGCAAGGAGCCTGGGCCTGGCTTAGCTCAACTGTTCTGTACTAAAGCTGGTTGCTGCTGTGCAACTAAAACTGAAACTCCTCTGCTTGTGTTTTGCATTTGGAACAAATTTATTTTCAGGTGGGAAAGGGGAGTAGAATTCCTTAGCATCAGAGCGTGCTAATAAAATACAAAAAACTAATGCTCTGATTATCATTTCAAAAAGTCCTTTTTTAGTGAGCACCTAGAAGCCAAGAGAAACATACATGCCAAATTTCAGGTTTGAAGGCTTTATGGTTGTGGAGATTTTGTGATGATGCGTGCGTGGTATTTAGCTTTTATACATATAGATGATAACTATGTTGAGAATGAGCATAACCATTCCAAAACATTTTCAACTTTCATACAACCATTAAAAACCTCATTTCAAGGATGCCCTCTTAAAACCAGTCTAATATTAAACAAATGATATATTTTATAATAGTCATTACTTCCTTAGTAACAAATTAATATCCAATTTTCTTATGCCTTATGAAAGAAGGCCTTGGTCAGCCAGCAAAAGGAGACTGGTCTGAAAGAAGGCTGCAACGGCACAAAAGAAGACCCCAGTTTGTAGTGGCCCATGGTACAGGGCCAGGCAAGAGGGGCAGCTGGCAATAGAATGCAGGCACAGCCTAAAGGGCAGGGGAGGGAAGATATATAGATGGAGAGGAAATGGTATAGTTCTTTCCTTTCTTCCAAGAGTAGCTTGGATCCAGATAAATCCTCACCTAACGACCATGTGGGATTCATTGATTAGGGTCAACCTTTATTGGGATCATTTAAGTGAAAACTATTTGTTTATAGCATGGAACCAGGTTATTTGCAGGAGCATCTTTCCCTGAGGACTTTTCCTTTCATCTTTTCATTTCAGGTAGGGTCGGTATACTCCTGGTCCCTTCCTTTAAATGCTGCCATCTTATAGGACCCAGGAAGAGTGCATTTTCCATGGCAACCCCCTGCCCTATGCAACATCCTTCTCTCTGAATTCTAATAGTCACTACCCTTTAAGCCTGAAAAGCATTTTCTCCTAAGCATTCAGATAGTGTGTGCTTGGCATGCGATGCACATACTGTGGGCTGCTTCAGAAAGTTTATTTATGGTGCCAGAGTTTTCTTTTTTGTTTTACTGTTTTTTATATTACTGTTGTTATATATTGTCCATCCTTGGTTGTGAGCCATTCAGGCTTTAAGATAGGCAGCCATGTAAGAAATTTTTAAAAAATGTTGGAACTGATCTAGCAAAACCAACTATTCCTCTTTTAAAAAACATTTTGTTCTTCTAACGGGTTTTGAAAACAAATTACTTATAAAGGACACCTGTAATAGAATATCATAGGGATGAATAAACTGATTCTTTCATTTAATCACTCAAACATCTGGCTCATTTACCAAAAGCTCTTAATAAAATTAATAAACAAAGTATGTCTTGTTTCTTCTGACTTCTAAAGTTTCACATTCAGAGTTTAATTAGGAACATAAAATAAGCCCTGGCATCTGGGGCAAGAGCACTATGATAAAAACCTATATAATTAAATCCATAAATTTAACATGCTTTTGCTATGTATAGAGTTATGCATATTTATGAGACCCAAAGCTTTTGAAGGGATATTGTCAAAAACATAGTAGAGCCTTGAAAAATTTCAAGAAGAAACTCCCAAATGAGAGTATGGATATAAGCATATTGAAGAATTCTTTAGAAGCTCTATTTGTTCCCAAGCTGAAATTAACTGTAAAAGACATCTCAAAACATTTTAAGAAAGAAATTAGCAAAACTGCTTCCAATTTTTATTTAGTTGTTTCTGATCTGTATTCTAGAAGCCAGCTGATATAAACTATTTTAAAATATTAATGCAAAATCACACTATGAATGCGAGTCTTCTTTATGAGATTTCCTGTGCCCTAAGCGCATATATCATAAAACCTACATTCTACACAGCTGCAGCAATCATGCCAACAGCACTAACTGCAAAAGCATGAAAAAATACAGATGACAGCTTGAAAGTCTTGTTGAAAAATCTGTATTAAATCTCTACATCCATTACAACTTTGTGCACACTGTGCTGCTGATTCATCAGCATGTAACCCTTTCAATAAGCAAACCATATCTTCTATTTCCTCCAGATATGAAATTGATCTTAGTGCCCATTTCAGCAGTCAGCATCTAAATTCCTCCACTTAGCAATAGTTAGATTGCACTTAACAATAGCTTAACTTTCTTGACTGGTAATTTATATGGCATAGTTGGAATCATGCTGAAAAAAACAAAAAATCCTGAGTAAATACAAATTATCTACACCGCTGGATTCTGTCCTATGCTAGTTCACTCTGTATTAGACACATGGAACAAATCAGAAGATTTCTGAACCCAAAACATTTTAGCCATTTTTATAACAGTATCAATGAATAGCAGAACAAAACACTAAAATGCACCCGTAAATATTTCACAAGGAGCCATGTGGCACAGTGGTTAGAAGGCAGTACTTCAAGCTAATTCTGCTGACTACCGGCTGCCTGCAGTTTGGCAGTTCGATTCTCACCAGTCAAGGTTGACTTGCCCTTTCATCCTTCCGAGGTCGATAAAATGAGGACCCAGATTGTTGGGGCAATATGCTGACTCTGTGAACCGCCTAGAGAGGGCTGCAAAGCACCGTGAAGAGGTATATAAGTCTGCTATTGCTATATCTTTACAAGATATTCAATATATTAAAAAGAAATTGAGATAATTAAAACTGGCAGCAAAGGACAAACTCCAAAAGTGTAATTATTACAAAAAATTCACTGACCTGCTATGACCTTTATCTACAGGAAAAATGCGAATAGATTTATCAAAGCTGGCAGACACAAATTCTTTTCCTGTAGGGGAGTAATCCACATCCAGAACTGCAGACACATGGTTCATATGAACCATTAAAGCCTTGCCAAGGAACCGCATATCAAAAGTATATAAGCTGCAGGAAGAAACAAAGTTAAAAGTATTACTTCTAATTATTTTATAATTGATTACTTATCAGAACAGTGCCTCTAGTCCACATTAAACAAATCTTTTTTTAAAAAAAACAGCTGAAATCTGTTTGGGAAAATATATCTAAGTTATCATGAAAATGTTCTTGATTTAGGACTGACTGGTTAATGAACTAGGAAACTGAGAATACTTCCACTTTCATATTAAGTGAGCAGAATTATTGTCAAATCTAAACTGCCTTAAATTCAACTATTCTGCTAGATTTTGGGCTAACCCCTAAATTGGTTTGGAAATAATACTCTTAAGCTGTCACTGAAATTCAAGTAAGCATGAGGAATAGAAAAAAATATATCTGCTTTGATAGAGGACCACATACTTTGGAATTAGAAGAGGAACTTTATCAGCATTTCTCATATTCTGCTTGAATAGAACCCAGCAAAGTGGCAGCACTCAGCTGTTTTTCACTGATCTCAAAAACCTAAGCATGGCTGGATCTAGTTAGCTATTAACTTGTCATTTCCCATTTTGGGAAATCCCAAAATTAGATTGAGAAGATAACGGATTCTGGAAGACAGAGATAAATCATTTGTTGGCAAGAAATATGCCCTTGAAGTAACTTAGCTTGAAGTGAATTTCAGCTTGCCTATTTAAATAAAAGGACACAAATCTCTTTCCCAAATACATTTGAGTTTTCAGCTTATGTGGAATCCTGATACATAGCCAATTTAGAAAAAAATAAGAGTTCATTGCAGCAGAGAATTTAGAATATAAAATAGAGTGAGTATCTAAGGCAGTGCGACATGGGAAATCTTATATATGGACTGTTTCTCAATACAGGTGCTTCTCAAAGTGCAACAGTCACAGCCCTGGTTGGGGAAGATATGCAAAGACCAGAGAGGGAAAGTATGTGGGAGGATGCACAAGAGGCACTGCATGAGTCAGGAGGATGTGCAATTAGCACCACCCGGGTCAGGGAGGGTACACAAAAGGCAGGGGAGAGAAAGTGAGGGTTGGGGAGGGTATACAGGGATGTGCAAGTGGCAATAGCAGCTCCAACAGAGTATCTGCAGGTTTTGCAGGTGGGAGAGACTTACACCAGCGACTTCAAGTTTCCCTGCCAGCTTCCCCACTGACTTCCAGGTTGTAAATGGCGATCCCACAATCAGGAGGTGCTTTGCAATCAGTCCGAAGTGCGAACAGATAACGAATACCCAGATCATGATTATGTAATATGGAGCTACTGGGATGGCCAGAACTGTAAGAACTTGTCATAACCGCCATTCATTCAGCAGCATCATAACTTCAAATAATCACTGAATGAGTGGCCATAGGTCAAGGGCTACTTGTAGTGTTCAAAACTTTCCACTGACACAGAATGTGGCAATTCAGATACTAACACGATCCTGGTGCACCAATATTATATCATAGACTCAGTTCAAACTATTGCTTTTACCTTTTAGATTTGATACATGTTAATGGATTACTTTCTTGACCACAATGAACTAACAAAATGGATCTGCACCTGAGGCCAAGGACTGTAGAGGGTTATGAAGATAGCTTTGAAGAGAGTCGACAACAGCCATTACCAAATCCTCAGTTTAGATGATAAATACAAGAGACTGAAGAAGAAACTCAAGGTTGCCCCACTTTAATTTTCCTTGGCATAAATGGGAGGGGGAAAGTCAGGGTTTCAAGATTCTGTTATTATATTGTAACATTAAAGCAAGTTCCAAAAATTCTTATGGCTTCTATTTTCTATTCTGGTCTCAAAAGGATTGACAAGGACTATCCCTTACCAATCAAGATTTGACAGCTAGAGATAAAATAGCATTTGCTCCCCCTCCACCAAGACCAAGTGCTAGATCAGGGATACGGGTTTTTTTAATTTTTAATAATAACATTACTGAGTAGAGTTTTTCTGAATTTGATATCCTCTCAAAGTAGGTTTCATCAGAAATACACCTGTTGGTAAATCCATTCCACTGATATTTGTTCTTGTACTGCTTCCATTTAAATGTCCTGATCAGTATTTTATTTGTAACTGTAATGTACATTTCTAATTATATCAATGTTTAAATTACCAATTTGTTGCTAACAATATCAAGTATCTTCATTCAGCAAAGAGAATAAAATATTGGAAATAGTTCCTCAGACTCTAGCTGGAGTTTAAAATGCCATAGTATTTTAATAGAAATAATTTCCTAATCAATCAGATTACACTGTGTTTATGTTCTCTTTTTAACACAATCTCTCAAGAAAATATTTGTTATGGAGCAAATTAAAAATATTATTTATTAATGTGTCAACTTTTACACACCTTCTGAATACCTAAAGCAGTCAAAACTTAGAGCAAGCAAAATCAGTATTTCTTACTTGTAATCCTCATTTGCTGCAGTGAAAATGAAAGCTTCCATAGGATTCCAGCAAAGTGTATTTGTTCTCATATCCAAAATAACCTGAGAAAATGTAAATATTATAAAGTAGAAAAAAAAATCAATAGAATTGTACTGTTTATCACAATAAACTATACATTACAAATAAACTGTATAGTAGTACAAAGCAGTACAGAGTAATAATTATTACTCTGGGTTAGTTGTTCTCTCTCAGCCCAACCACCATACAGAGTGCTGCTGTTGCGGAGAATATAGGCAGGAGCACTAGTTAAATATGCCACCTTGAATTGACCAAAGGCAGGATAGAAACCAAATAAATAAACATTAAGCGAATGCACGGATACTGGTTAAAGAACTGTGCGATCTATACAACCTGTCATGCTGGTGAAAGCATCAAGAATCACCTTATCCAGATATGTCATAAAACTCAGATAAAAAGGTACAGCATAATAATGTAATTACTGGTAGTCCTCAATTTACAATAGCAATTAGGACTGGAATTTCTGTTGCTAAGTGATGTGACTATAAAGCATAACTCCAACTGTAAAAGCCAGCGGGAGCTCAACAATTGGCAGCTGCTGGATGGGAAGGGACTGAGAAAGGTACAGTGAGACTCAGGGAGATGACAAGGGTGTGAGGAAAACATAATGAATTGCACATAATGCATTGAGGCTCAAGGAGGGTGCAAAGGAGGTGTGCTGACTGTTGGGTAGGGCGCACATGGGAAGTGAGGCAATGATCAAGGAGGGTGTGCGGTGGTGTGTAAATGGCTGGCACAGTGGCATGGCTAGCAAGCATAGAATCTATGCAAATATCAAAACGAAACAGTATTCAGCACAATTAATATACTTCCCTGCAAATGGGCATTTTTAAGAGCATATCTATTACCTTCTTTAGGGCAGTTGATTGTCTCATATCATACAGCACAATATTTCTGTCTGAAGTACAGCTTCCCAAAAGATTCATCTGAAAATAATTATTTAATAACTGTATGTCACATACGGAGGTTTACAGAATTAGAATTTGATTATAATTGCATTACTGTTTAAATATTACTTAGGAAATGAATTTCTTAAATGTAACTGAATTAATCAAAAAGAGATGTAATATGTAAATGACCTATTTTAACTAACATTCATATCCCTCAATAAGTAAACCTTTCAAAGATGTGTATGCAAAACAGCTGATCTTTAAAAAAACTATGTTGCTTAAAAAAGAGCAAGTAAGAAGGATTAAACTCAAACATTTTCTAAGTACTCATACTGCCAATAATAATCCTTCACCCATTTTTCAACTGTTCTTGTGTAAAGAAGATAGGCTTTCTTATATTCCCCAAATAGTACTTCAGTGAGAACAGGATTCTAGAAAAATGCAGGATTCACAAATGAAACTCTATCCGCACATATTATTTTTAAGCCTCACTGCTCTCAAGCTAAAGTGATAAGCTAGGGCTCCTCCTGTTCCCTCGTCTTGTTGCAGACATTCACCTTCTACAGTTGGACAGCAATGAAAAGGACAGTGTGGCAACACACTTTTTCCCCTTTCTCATGAACGGGAGCAGATTGTTACCAGACTTTATAATTCATGCAAACTATAGGTCCTACACATTCCTACACTGGGAACTTTGTAATGAGTACAGAGTAAGCAAACATAAGATTATTTTTTGTGAAACACTGCCCTGCATTCACTTGCCATGAGGTTTGTATACATCTCTTCATTTCCCAACTTTTAATTGTATTGCTCTTCTTTATGCAAACCGTTATTATTGCTATTTAGCAAGCTACTCTGCCACCATTTTAAAAATCTTAATATTTGATCCTATCATAGTTTGCTATCTATGATTCCCAAGTTAAAATTAATTCAGCTTAGCTGTTAGATTTATTTTTGCAAACTAAACTGTATCCTTCCTTAAATAAATTATTTTTTTAAAAGATGTAAAACTACACCTGCTGAATAATGACCATAACTATAAAGACCCTTAAGAACTGTTCAGTTTGAAGACTGTTCTATTCAGATAAATTTATTTAATCAGCTTTTAAGCTCTCCCATTCTCCTTCAGCTTTATTTATAAAGGTTTACCTTTAATTCCTGTGGCAGACAGGGTTTATGGCTGTATCTATGTTGCTAGTATTATTTAATGAAAATAATTTTGGCATCATATATACACTAATGAAATTATTACCTCAATTGGATTGAATTTAACACTGTTTATGCTATCGACTCCCCAAGTCAAAGAGCATATAGGACTTGTTCTCTGCTCATCCCATATATCAACCTGATGACCACAAGTAGCAAATATAGGTTTCTTCCAATGATGATCAATTCCAGTGTACACTGTCTTGAAAATATAAAAAAAAACAGAACCAACTACTGATATAATAGTCAAAGATTTTAGATCAAAGACATTAGTAACAGTTTGAGCAAAGAATTTTTTTTGTGAAGGATCTGCTAATAGTTCTTTTAACTGTCTCTATATGGCAAAAGCCATTTCTTTTATAACAAACTACAGTCCAAGAGATTGCCATCATCATGGCAACTGGCTCATCTGAGAACAGAAGGGAGTTTACAGATTTGATTCCTCTCATTAATTCTTGAACCTATCCATAGCTCCAAGAAGCATATACAGTAGCCTCTTTCCTTACATTTAAAATACTGTAATAACTGTATAAATATTAAGCTCACTTGGAAGATTTTTAAATTATATACATTATACTACCACTACATAGCATAACACAAATAATTCAGACCTTTGGCATTTTAGTGAATCCAATATTAGAATGATTCATCTGTGTGCATAACCTATGCCTTCCAGACAACAAATTTCAGTGCCCACCAACTGAACTAACATGGCTAATAACAAAATATTATAGTAACTATAATTCAAAATAGCTGGAGAGATTCAGGTTTTAGCTATATGGTCATACAAACCTACAACAATTTAAAAACAAATCCCAAATGAGCAGCTACAGTTGGTTTTAATAGCTGCTGCTACAATTAATAGTTAAATCTAAGCTAAACAATGACTCTTTTCTTAATCGAACTTCCAGAAAGTTTTACAACTGTACATTAAACCAATCTGTTTCATTTCTGTTAAAGAAAATGAAAAATCAGTTACAGAAGAAAATCAGGGTTTTAAGTTTGTACATTGCAAAACAAATTAAAGAAAAAAAACATAATTAATAATTAGTACCTTTCCAAGAATGGTATTTATTGGTTCTTCTGCTTCCCCATCAGCTGGTGCTTCCATTTTCCAGTGTTTTACTGTTTTATCATCACCCACCTAATTATTTGGAAAAACAAAATATTACTTTTTTACAATATCAGCTATTTATACGTATGTAACAACTCTGTTATTCTATTCTATTCCTACAACTGAAACTTCAATTCTGAAGCCTAAAAAAAACTCTAGAAAGGGCACAGGCAGTCAATCAAGTCATATATATGCTCTGTAAGGCCATCCACAATGCACCTTTTCAGCTTTGAATCCAAAGCATAACACATGCTTAGAAATAGCCTTAGAGACAGCTTTCCTTTTTAGGTTGAAAGCATTATGTAAATGAACATATTGATCTATGAATATATACAAATAATCCAACCGATCAAGTAAATACAGTGCCCGTTTTGTTTTCATATTGTTTTTTGCTTTGTTTTGAACATGAAGAAATATTCTCTTATTCCATTTGATGTTTATTCCACAACCTTGGTGTTTTTATAAAATAAAATTTACAGAAAAATAAGCAACATCCATTCAACATATTTCACTGAAGCAATGTAGTGAACTGTATCAATGCCATGAGTCAAGACAACTACTTTACCAGAAAGATCTAAAGAAAGTAGGATATATTCTATGTAAAAATACACTGAATCAAGCAGCACACAATATCCAAAAAAAAATCCAAATGGACTAATAGACGTAGTACTTTATGGAATAGCTTTTAAATTATCATAAATTCATATTCCCACCAAACAGGAATTATATTATCTACAGTGAAGCATTATACAACATTATACCAGGATACAATTACTAAATTGTTAGGGAGAAGCAAAACTAACAGTTGCACAATTTACTAAATGTTTAAATCACATTTACTTTTCCATTCTAGCTACCTCTTATCTTCAAAGAGAAATCTAGCCATTTATCTGTTTTTTTCTAGTTTTGGAACTTCAAAGACATGAACAAGTTCTGCCACAAAAGGGTATGTTTATCTCACTACTTGCTTTATACTTCCAGGAAGAAGAGTTTATATTGAAAGTGAAACATTGTCACAAAAAATAAACTATAGTAAGAATTAGGAATTGGAGATGAAAAGTGCTACAATGTATAAACTATAAGCTCAACAAAATGCTGCACAAAACATAGAAAAAAGCAACAATAAGCAATAAATATTACTCCTTAATTCCCAAAATTACTCACAGTGAAGAAAGAGGTGCCACAAAAACGGGTACACATTCCTCTTACAAAGCCTTCATGTGCTTGCAATGTACGGATGCATACACGCTTCATCAAGTTCCAGATTCTCACCTTATAAATCAATGACATGCTTATATCATAATTCATAATGAAGTGTATAATACAACTGTTCATCTTCATGTGGAATTTGGAAATATACAATATTTAAATATATACCAGCATTTAACAACAGAAGCAAACTATCGTTCTGGGAGTTGAGCAAAAATAAAAAACAAAGCTGAAGAGTATCCGGGAGTTTTTCTAATGGTTAAATTTCATTTCATTTGAGAGTTTAGTTTTTCCATAGATTTCAAATAAGATTTTAAATTGATGCAAGTCAAAAACCCAAGGCTGAAACTTGATAATTTTTCAACAGTTAACATCTTATTTCCATCAATCGAAATAGAAACAAATCCAATTCAGAACTAAACATTTGTACATCTTTGGGGATATAAGCAGGAAAGACATGGGAACTGTTCAGATAATATTGCCTTTAATCTCTATATACTTCCCATGCTGGCTAGAAAACAAAATAAAATTAGCTTTCAAATCCCTTTTATTATAACTTGAAATTATTTCTAGAGGTCACACATTTCCTGTTGTATTTTTTTTTCGTCACACACCTATATCTTAGGAAAGAACAACATTAGTGAAAAAAACAAGAACAAAAATGACGGCAGCCATAAGCTACAGACTCCTAGCAAGTCACAGGAGAACAGTTGGCAAACTCCATGAACCACTCAACAATCTTTAAGAAAACATATGCTTGTCATCTTAAAGTAACATTTACCTCTCCATCACATGCTCCAGACAGAACTGTAGACAAGCTCTCTGGATGTTTAGCCATGCAATTAACTCCATCCCTATGGCCATCTAACGATGCAAGAAAAGGTTTCGCAAATATACGATCTAATTTAGTTGCATTTAGCGCCCTTGTATATTCCCGTGGAATTTCAAATGGATGTAATGCCGGATCGTAATTTCGTGGAACTAGAAATAAAGTGAATAACACATAAATAAACATATTGCCATTCATGAAGATTGTCTCTTTTTTTTTTTTGATTTTGTGACTAACCCAAGATTATCCTGGAAAATAAGTTTTTCCCACCTTAGATTTACAATCAAATTCTTGATGTTTTAATGTGTGCATGGACAAGTTCCTGAAGTTTTGCAAGTTTTTTTTTTTTTTTCAGAAATGGTTTGCCACTGCCTCCTTTTTTGAGCTGAAAGGGGGTGACTGGCTCAAAATCACCCAGCTGGCTTTGTACCTGAGGCAGCAATACTGAGGCTTTGTACCTGAGGCAACACTATAGACTTGCTTTGTACCTGAGGCAACACTATAGACTTGCTTTGTACCTGAGGCAGAACCACTACAGCCAAAAATGGCTCTCAATTTATAGGGTGCATCTTTAAATCCTAATTATGGTGACATCCCCACCCCCAAGAATTGATCTCCATCGATGGCACCTCGCTATCTAAAAAAACGGGGCCTATAGACAAAGGAGACCAGGGCTCAGGCAGAAGGCTAAATCCAACCTATTAATTCTCCAGATCAGAAAAAAAAAAAAATCTTCCTCAGCCTGACGGGAACTGGGCCAGGCGAGAAAGTTGGTGACGAAAGCAACAGGTCCCCTTCATAATTTCCGATTAAAGCCAGGGGTCTCCAAACTAGCTGGCTGGAGAATTCTGGGTGTTGAAGTCCACAAGTCTTAAAGTTGCCAAGTTTGGAGACCTCTGGATTAAATTGTAGCCATTTAGGAGCGCGCCTCCCCCCCCCCCACTCGGCTGCTTGGTGTGAGGCGCCATTGCCGGTTTCCTAGGGAACGACACCCCCACTCCGCCCGCTCCATTTCCCCCCCCCCCCCCCCTCCCTTCCCCCCCCCCCCCCCCCGAAGGTCCTGCTTGGTTTCTCGCCCATCGTCGTCCGGGTTCCTGCGCTCAACCCCCCCCCTCCCCTTCCCCCGGGGGGGGGGGGGGGGGGTCCACTCGCCTTCCGAAGACCCCCCACCACCACCACCACGTGGGGAAAAAAGGAGAAACTCCCGGAAGAACTTCCGGATCGAGGTGCTACCTCAGGTCCGAGGCCCGAGAGAAACCTTAAGCCAAAGGAGTTCTGTGTAGCTAAGGGTAAAAGAAGCCGGCCGCCCTCGCGCGCTCACGTGTCCCCCTTAGTCCCGCCCTCCCGGACGGCCCGGCGGCGTTTGCTGCCGAGTGATTGGAGGATCAACTATGAGCGACTGTAGGTTGCTGCCTATAGGAAGGAAGCGGCGGGGAGGTCAAAGGGATAATATCTAGCGTCTACGGGTCTCGTGCGGGGACTTTTTTATTTTGTTTTTCTCCGTTTCCCCCCCCCCCTCGGGCTGCCTTTGCGTATTTCCCCTCACATGAATTCCGCCGCCGTTGCAGGCGTCCAGAGTAAACTGGCGGGCTCTGCTGCTTCCCCCTCGACTACTTCGGCCCCGGCGGCGAAGTCCCGCTTCAGGCACGTGCGCTACGAGAACCTGCTGGCCGGGGTGAGCGGCGGCGTTGTCTCCACGCTGGTCCTGCACCCGCTGGACTTGGTCAAGACCCGCTTCGCAGGTGAGCTCCCCCCGGTTGGGGGGAAAGTATGTGGGGTAGCAATAGCACTTAGACTTATATACCCCGCTTTATAGTGCTTTACAGCTCTCTTAGGCAGTTTACACATATTGCCCCAACAATTTGGGTCCTCATTTTACCCACCTTGGAAGGCTGAGGAGCCTGGCCAGATTCGAACTGTCAAATTGCAGGCAGCCGGCAGGCAGCAGAAGTAGCCTGCAGTACTGCACTCTAACCACTGCGCCACCAGGGTTCATTATAAATATAATGAGCTATAAAAATGGGATATAAAAGAAATATTTATAGGAATTAACTTGTGCTCCTGTGGGTGTATTTCTGCTGCCATTCTGACATTGATTTATTTCCAGAAATATTCCCCCATCAAAGTTAATTCCTGAAAGGGACCAAGCACTGCCTTCCATCCAAACTTCTTCCCTGTTGCAAATTCCAAATTGGCAAGCTGAGGCTTTCCCCCATACCACAGGTAGTCCTCGACTTAGGACCACGATTGAGCCCTAAATTTATGTTGCTGAGTGAGAAATTTGTTAAATAAGGTTTGCCCTATTTTATGACCTTTCCTGTCACAGTTGTTAAGTGAATCCCTGCAATTAATAATATGGTTAAGTGAATCTGTCTTCTTCATTGACGGCTTGACAGAAGGTTGCAAAAGGTGATAGCATGCTGCTGGGACACTGCAACTGTCATAAATATGAACCAGTTGTCAAGCATTCCAATATAAATCACATGACAATGGTTATTTTGCAATGGTCTTAAGTGTGAAAAATGGTCATAAGTCACTTTTCAGTGCCATTGTGACTTTGAACAGTCACTAAATGAAGTGTTGTAAGTCAAGGACTACCTGTACTTGGAAGGACAATGTATAAAGGAAAGAATTATTCAATCTGTGCATCCTCTTCACTAGAAATTGACAGGACTTTGATATGACAGGTGGTAACTGTCCCAATTCTACTCCTGTTTTTCCCATTAATGTTGTATATATGTCGCCAAATAGTGAATTAGATTAACAGACTTGAAAGATACCTTGTAGGTCATCTAGTCCATCCCCCCATCTTTGATTCATTCAGTCTTATTATTCCACTTTAACACACTAGGCAGCTATTTAAGATAATCTTTTAACTTGAGGCAAGGTACTGAATTTTCTGCATAAAAAGTGCTGTTCCAAAAAATTCTTTATTACTTGGGTGTTTCTACTGTTAAATGTAGAGATGTAGGATGATACATCTGCTTTTTCTGCCTGTGGAAGAGATGTTGTGAACACTATTAACTATTAGGGAATTGAGATAAGAGGTTGTTAGTGTAACTTATGGAGACATAATACATTTAAATTGGAGTTTTGTTCTCACCAGGAGAGGGGGAAAAACATACTGTGGTTGTCTTAGAGCAGGGGTCTCCAACCTGGGCAACTTTAAGACTTGTGGACTTCAACTCCCCGAATTCCTCAGCCAGCTTTGAAGTCCACAAGTCTTAAAGTTGCCAAGGTTGGAGACCCCTAACTTAGAGAGTCACATTGATCATTGATTCAAGAGCATCCAGTTTTCAAACTGATTTCTAATTCTTTTATATAGTGAGTGACGGCTTGGAGCTGAGACCAAAATACAATGGCATTTTGCATTGTTTGTCAACCATCTGGAAACAAGAAGGATTACGTGGTCTGTACCAAGGAGTGATTCCAAATGTTTGGGGTGCGGGTGCCTCTTGGGGTCTGTATTTTTTCTTGTAAGTTGAAACTGTTTAAATGTATCCAAGTTAATCCCAAAACAGCTTGTTTGTTTTTTCAATTGTTTTCACTTGTCCCACAGCAGATTGACTGATATGTTAATTTCGTCCATCTATTCTAGGCTTTAACTAGAAGATTTTATAGCACTAATCTAATACATGTCAGTGGCCTATACTTGCTCTCACTATTGCTCCTTTGGATTAACTGTAATAATACAGTATTTCTCAATCTGGATCATTCAGTAATTTTCATACAACTGGGGGCTTTTAAATTTCTCCCACTAAAGTAGCTATATGGAGTCATTGCCCAGCGGTTGAAAGGCAACTTGTGCAAGTGATTTTTCTTTCCTTTTCCTCCTCCACATAGCCTCCTGTACTCCCCAGAATCTTCTCTGGAGAGTTGGAGTCCTATCTAAGATTATCAGTTCTATCCTACAAGACTGCATGGGAGAACAGAAGCAGGTAGTGAGGGATGTTGCCAGCTCCTGTCCAAGATTTCAAATAATTTCTCTCTTTGCATCACATCTCTATTAGAGTTATGTATCGTTTTGGATTCAGCTTCCAAAAAGGTACTCTGGAACATGTGGGGGTACTAACATAGCACCTCTCTGCAACTCTTTGAAATATTATTCCAGGAAAAGATAGCTGCATTTTAGAACTGAAAACAGCGCTATGTTTGCATCCATATTCTCTTCAAAGCATCTTTTCAGAATCAAATCTGAAACACTGCACAGCTCCTATCTGCATATAACACAGCATTGCTACTTAGGATTGTGTCTTGGTCACCTGAAAATATGTATAGCTGATACCCGGAGCATCAACGGGGAAGAAGTGAAGAGAAGCATCAGTTGTGTAAACTGCCTTCCCATTTATTGGCCTCTGAATATGATTAAAGGTTGTCAAATATCATCTGTTGAGTGTCAGCTCTGAGACTCAGCTGCCAAGATTGTTATAAGGAATGCAAAGGGGAGTGGAGGAGTTGGAAAGTTCAAGGTTATTTCGTATGTCGCATTAAAAAATTCCAGCTGCAGTTAATTGGTTCTCGTGATTAATGAAGTGTAAGAAGTGGGAGGGGAGAAGGTGGATTTTGTGGAAGGCGCTGAAAATGACTTTCAGTTTGGAACTTCAATAGAAGTACCAGAGCTGTTCCTAATAAATCAGTTGGAGATTATACTTGTCTCGGAGTGATTGATTACCATGGACAATTCTGGATGTCTAACATTGGGCTTTGGATTGTCACTTTCAATACCATTTCCAAACCTCCTACTTCGACAGAAATATATTGAGAATCCCATGTAAGTTAGAGTAGGCAACATCTTATCATCCATCGAGTGCAAGAAAATATGAAAAGCTTTTTTATCAAAGGGCATAGGGTCAGTTTAAGGAAGCAATTCACATTAACTGGGCATGTGTGAAATGGCTATTTAATTCAAGATTATATTTAATGAGTTTATATTCTGAATTCCATCCTATAATAACAATATATACAAACCTTTGATCGTACAATGGCATGCAAATATTCAAATTCCCAAAATTGCTAACCAGGCAATAAGCAGAAATGAGGGTTATTACAATCTTACTAGATTTTGATTTAAATTTATATGGCAACGCAAAAGGTTGGGGACTTGGACAAGAATAAATTACCAACTAGAAAACCCAAAATAAACTCCTTCCCCCTGGCAACAACATCCTCTTGATGGACTCCATATCAGTGTGGAATCCCCGGGTCCACTGACAAAACCGTGTCTTTCAAGCCCTTTGGAACATTACCAAGGTGGGAGCTGGTATTATCTCTGCAATGATGAGATTCCACAGGGAGGGAGCCAAAATGGAGTAGGCTCTTTTCTTAGTCCCAATAGATAAGACATTCTTGATGGAAGGGATCCATAACGTACCCCGCCTGATCAGGTGAGTCAAATATATGTATTGTGAAAAGACAGCCCTTCAGATACATGACTCCAGGCCATATAGGGCTTCAAAGGTGATAACCAGCACCTTGAATTGGATCCAGAAGCAAATTGGCAGTGGTCCCTATTTTTCTGCTTGCATTTTTACATGCTTTCGAACTGCTGTGTGGGACAAGTAACAGGAGCTCGCTCCATTACACAGCGCTATGGATTCAAACCACCGAACTGCTGACCTTTCTGATCAACAAGCTCAGCGACTTAGCCACTGAGCCACCATGTCCCTATAGAGGTGACACCTGTGCAAATCCAGATTTGCACATGCAAGTGCATAAGTTCTTAAAAACTCAAAAGCCTGGATGGTGTTTTGTAATATTCTCATAATATACTGATATTTTTCTTCATAGCCACTATGCCTCTACTTAAACAGGTTGTTTTAATATTTGTATAACAAGTAACCTGGGTTTTCTTGTTACTTGTTACTTGTTATACAAATATTAAAACAACCTGTTTAAGTAGCCTGGGTTTTCAACACTTCCGGGTTGTAAGGCTTCGTCGATGGCAGGAATCCGCTTCTCTGCGGGTCCCTGCTGTGCTCGCCGTCAAGGTACCCCCGATCCAACTGGATTTGGGGGTTGTCGCTACCCTGAAGGGGCAGCGGAAGACAGAGGAGATCCGAGCAGGGGTCTGGGGACATCGCACCCCCCCCTCCCCAGCCGGCTAGACTCCTTTTTCCCGAGACGGATGAGCGGCTGTCTCGGCAGCCATGAAGGATTCTTCAACCGGACAAGTTTGTGCAGGAGGAAGACTTAGAAGGAGAAGTTTTCTTGGCTAAACCAGGACATGATGTTACT